ATAATGTACATGAAGACGGCATTGCCCATTTGTCTTCACCTCCGTCTACTTCAAGACAACACAATAAGTGGCTTGCTATAGCTTAAATTCAAAGCACCTGACAATTTATTAGTTTAAACATGTCAGTTTATTTAAATTGATCTTTATAATAAAACAATTAAATTTATGTATTGAATAATAAAGAGACTAATTTAAATAGATATATAATAAAGATATTAAATTAATAAATTTAATAATAAAATATATAATTCAAAACTATCCTTGTAATAAAAAGACTTATCGAATACTCTCATCATATACTATATATATATATATATGTCCACTGATTATAATATTAATGTGAAAGATATTTACATATTTATAGTCATTACATGATGGATAATTCTATCCTTGATCACAAGTTTGTTTAAGACAAAATATACGTTAATAATTACGGAATACTTTAATTGCGTACGCACATCCTTTGTTTTTAACTACCGACCCAAAAGACCTTTTGTTATATTAATGGGAGTTGATTCAAGTAGTGAGTAGTTTGATATCGTTTAAGTATGTTTTCAGTTTGAGGTTTTGTGTATACAGAAAATCTTCACTGAAAAACTCACCCATTAAAACCAGACGTGCAACGCGATTTAATCTGAATTAGTCAAAACGAAATTTTAAAATCGGAATGTTATGTTAAAGTGTCATCTTATGACAATGAATCATACAACTTTTTTAATTAATGTGAGTGGTTCATTTCATAACATTTGTCCATATTTACATTATAGTTTTAAGTTCAAAACTCATTAACCATTTGACTTTAACTTATCTAATTAACATATGTCTTTAACTTATCTAATTAAAACAACAATTTTTAATATCCTTATCTTGATTAATTTGAGGACCGGTGAGCTTAATTATGTCTGTAGATGAAAAATAAGTAAAACATGTTTTAAAAAATAAATCAAAGATATAGATTATTGAAGTATAAAAGCATGGCGTATCATGTGATTGGTGGGGTCCAAAACCAAATACTCCTACCTAATTGAACTCTTGTGGAGTAGGGACAGAGAACCAATAAGTAACAACTTGTCTCAACTAATTATCACGGAAAACCGTGTAGATAAAATAGGGGTAAAGTATATAAATGATTTTTTTAACTATAGAGATGTTATTTTGTTGAAAATTTTAATTATTGAAAATTATGAAATAATTATTTGATAATAAAGTGATGTTTTGTTAAGTATCGATTATTAAAAATTATAAAATAATTATTTGACTATTCATATGTTTTAAACTTGTTCTTCATCGTTAAAAATTTGGTCACCGTTTGATAATGGTGAAACTAAAATTTTCAAATTGCATTGTCATAATTTTAAATTATGGTATCTAAATAAGATCATATAAATTAATATATAACATTGAGACTCGATAAATTAATGTAAAATATAACTAAACCAACATAAGGTGTCATTTTAAAGGGATTCAAAACTTTCTTAAAAGGGGGTTTCATTTATTTATTTATATTATATGTATTAAATTTATATATAAAATAAAAAATTAGAATTTTTTTGGTGTAAATTGACACCCCTCAATAGGCATTAGCTCGCCCATGCCGTCTAAGCTACGCATTAAATCATATTAAATACATACTTAATCCTTAAATGAGTAATTTTATTATTATTTTATGTAAAGACTATATAAATGTATAAAAATAAAAATGAATCAGAATAATATCAGTTTTTATTTTAAAAATATATATTATTATACTTTTTTAGTTGAATTAAAATTTGATTAACTAATAATATAAATACAATGAAAGAATTAATATAGGATATAAATATAGATAAGTAAACAAATATTAAATTTGTTAAGAAATTTCCACTAAGTTGATTAAAACTTCTTTCTTATTAATGAAGATTATAAAGCATTAAAGTGAAACAACTTTTCAAAATCCCATCGTGGACCATTGAACTTGCCAAACAAGAAACAAGCATTTGGAAATGTAATATTTTTTTATCAACGGATTTGATTCAATTGGTAAGTAGCTTGATATCGCTTAACCAAAATCTCAAGTTCGAGTTATTGTGTATGCAAAAAATTCCCGCTTGGAGACTCATCCACCAAAGACAGGTGTGTAACCCGAGTCGATTTATATTAGTCAAGGCGAAACTTTGAAACTGGAGTATAAAAAAAATACCTTTTTTATTTGTCATTTACTTACGTTATTTTTACAATAAAATTATATTTAAACTTTGTTCTATATATTATATATTGCAAAGGTTCTTCCTTTTTCAGTTTCAACTTGACCAATTGCCTTTATAGTGAAATGAAAAAGAAGGTGCGTTCTAATACTTGGCATGCAAGGAAATCGACTGTATTTTCATCCATATATAACAGCTGTGCTCCAAAATACAATGACGTGGAAACCTTCTTTTTTACCCAGAGCTTATGCTTTGAACTTGGACTTCTTTTATCTGTTTTATCCAATGGGATGTTGACGCGTGGATCTTAATATGCAAGCTTATCGGCAAATTTGGTCACCTTTTTTATTCTCTAACTTGTTAATGAAATCATATATTGCGGTGCTATATTAAATGTACAAAAGCTTTTGTAAAATTAGAATAAATATGCCTATTTTTGAGTTTTTATTTTATTTTCTAAATTCGGATTTTATTAACTATTAGTATTTTTTTAAGAATTGTTTAGTTTTTTTAGATATCTATGTATATAAAAATAATATTAATATTATATTTTGAATATAATTTGATTAATATTATATAAATAATTTGATATTACTTAACTTCATAATCGAAATTATAAACTAGCGCATGCTTTCAAGCGTAGGTTTAAAATAATAGTATATAATTTTTAATCCTATAATTAAAAAATAATCGTTAATGTATCTGATAATTTGTAAAAGAAAAATGAATAGACCATCAAAATATCTCTGATTGAGGCCATTTCATTCTTAATACAAATTGAATTACACACTTTATATGCCTATAAACACATGAACGTATGATTTTATGTTAATGAACTAATTATAAGATTTTAGAGGAAAACGGGCCTATAAAATAAGGTAAAAATATATAATTAATAAACAAATACACAAAAAATTAAAATTTATTACTTTATTTCTTATCTGTTGTTAATGAACATAAATATAATTATTACTAAATAACTTTAAAAATTATGTTAACAAACTGTGTTTAGAATCATAATGTATCGGTTAGTTAAATTGTATAATGACAACATTAATCCTAACATTTAGTAAAATGGCCACTTTAGTTCATTTCTCTAAAGTATTTTTACCCCAACGTTTTATTTTAGGTAAAAAAAATTATTGAGTGGATGAAAATCGTTAGTTAACTAACTGTTAACATTTTTTTATTGACTAAACAATTTCACGTGGGTTGAAATGTCGTCGTGAATGTATGTATGTCATGTCATATTAACAAAAAATATTTTTAATTTAATTAATTATAAATAATTATATTATATTAAATTAATAACAATCAATCATATGATGTCACATGACATCATCCGATGACATATAGTTTTAAAGGATTAAATTAAAGGATTTATACGTTACTCTATTATATTTTTGTGTTAAATTCTTAAAATAATAATTTTTAATTATTTTATTTGATAATTTTAAAATTTATTAATTATACTGATAGTAAATTTATTTATTTCAATCTTTTAAATTTATCATAAATACTCTTGTCATAATTCTATCATTGCTTATGAAAAATATTTTTAAAAATATTTATACTTATAGTGTATTAAACAATTACCTTAATATAAATAAAAAATATAATAATATGAACCAAAATGTATTGCACAAGTTATTATCTTAATAATTTCATGTTATCCTGTACATTTGTATATTTACCCTTTTTCAGATAAATAATATTGGTCTACTTTTTTTATATATATATAAGATATTGGTCTATTTTAAGTAGCATACATTAGAAAAAATAATTATAAAATGTTGGAATAATATAATTATTATAACTTTAAAATAAAAATGTACTTAACATTATTTATTATAAATTTATAAATATATTAAATATGAATTATTTAATTCAAAAAATAATATCCTTATTAAATTTAAAAATAATATCATGTTCAATTTGAAAATATTATTCCATGTATATATATAATTAAAACTATAGTTATCAATATTTTTATCCCATATAATTATCATCAGATTTTTTTTAAATTGTTATTTATCAATACTTTTATTCGTTTTAATTTTAAATATTTGTATAAAATTATAATTGTCAACATATTTTAATCCATATAATTTTAAATTTATTGACTCAATTAAAATCTAATGAGATGTAACTTAAAATTAGTTAAAAATATTAATTTTATGTGATTTTAATTTATCAACTAAATTAAATTTTAATAGATAAATAGTGTAACGTTGACAAAATTAAATTTTGAGGGTAGTAAATTGTGCAAAAATTAGTATTTTTTTAAAAATGGGATTTTTAATATCTATGTAATTATTATGATAACATATAAAATTATTATTAAAGTACACTTTTTATATTATATAAATATGATTATTTTAATTATTTTATAATTAAATTGATGTTAAGTTAATATATGACACTAACATGGTAATAAACTTTAAATCTTTAATAGTATAGATATATTTTTTTTGAGAAATAATAGTAAAGATATTCGATAATTAGAAATGGCGCAGCAAATTCATATAATCTTCCCTCTTTTTTTTTTTACAGATTCTTTAAACAGACCTTTCCCATTCTCTTCTTCATTAGAGAAAACCTCTAAAATTCCTTTCGTTTCAGCTTCTTTTGCTTCGCTATATACACTCCCAATTTACACTACCTGTCTCCTTATTATCGTCTGGCACTTTCTTTCCCTTTAACTGAATAACTTTCCTGGAAACTTTTATCTGAAAATCTTGCTTTTTGCATTTTGAAAAGAGCTTTCATTTGCTTCTTTGGGTTTTTGAAATACAGATTCCTATCTTCCTGGTGTAGCTTGAAGAAGACACTTTCAGCTCATTGTTATTATAAACCTGGTGACGAATCTTCTCTTCTTTCAACACAGCATTTCATTCTCCAATAAAAACGAAAAAAAGAAAGTTGTTTGCCTTTCAGTTTGGATTCTCAAGATGTTTGACTTGTTAGTTAAGCCAAAGTTCTATACAAAATGGTTAGGCAAACAAAACCCAGATTTTTTTCTTGCTTATTTCATTCTTTGCATGAAATTTCGATACCTTTGTTTATTTATTTTATTGTTTTGATTGGGTTTTCCATGTTTTGTTGGGTTAGCAAATCGGCTATAAAGATGATTAAGATGAGACTGGAGACGATAAAGAAGAAAAGAAATGCGGTGGAAAAGTATTTGAAGAATGATATTGCCGATCTTCTCATGAACGGTCTCGATGACAATGCTTACAGCAGGGTAACTACTTCGAGTGTAATTCGTCCTTTTCCTCTTTTCGCTCAATGATTTACGCTTTAACCTTTTGTAACAAAATCTGAAACTGAGTTTCATAATTATTATTTACGATGTTTTATGTTTGTGGTCTATAGTGCCAGCTTTAATAATTAGTATTTGACGATCTTATAGCTTTAATTTTCAAGAATAAAGTATTGTTCTACTTATGTTGGCATTTTCTGGAGTATACAGTTTCGGTTGCACAACGATGATGAACTTTTAATATTAGTTCTTCCCCCCCCCCCCATTTTTATTGTTTGTGTTAAGCATCTATTTGATGCATGAAAAGAACTTTAATATCGTCATCTTTCGTGTGCTAGGTTATGTTGCCTTCAATTGTTACTTGTTTTGGCTGACTATATTGAGTTTTAATATGGTATGTTTCCCGAGTAGAAGAAGATTACAACTGTTCTGAATGTTTTCCTGGTCACAGTTGACAGTATGATGCATTGATGACAAGGCAGCATTAATTTCATGACATGAGCTCCTTCATCAGGGTTCATGTGCTATGAGAATCTATATTGCTATTGTTTGCTTTCAATGAGCATTAGGTGGTCTAACCACCTAAAGTTCCCAACTTGAACCATTACATGTAATTTGAATATAGGCTTTAATTATTTAGATCAATGTGCAACTAATTTGGAATTTAATAATTTATGCATGATTATCTACATTTATCTGAGTGCACATATATCCAAATTTAACAACATTTGTGGATGGTTATGCAGGTTGAAGGTCTTCTGATGGAGCAAAAGAGAACATCTTGTTACAATTTCATAGAGCAGTTATGCGATTGCATTGCAAAACATATCTCAGTCATGCAAAAGCAGAGGTAAGTTGAGACCTTCGATTTTGTGGTACTCTATAGCCTATTCCTATTTATGGTACAAATATCATACCAAGTGCTTCATTAAATATTGTGTCAACATTTCGACACTCGAGCATAAGAATATTGGGAAATTCTTGCATTTGACTTATATTTTCTCTTCCAATACAGTGAGTGTCCAGAAGAATGCAGAGAAGCTGTCCCGTCTCTAATATATGCTGCAGCCAGATTTGCTGATTTGCCAGAACTGTGTGATCTCAGAACCTTATTTACTGAGAAATATGGGAATTCCCTAGATTTGTATCTGAATCAAGAGGTAATAAAGGGATGGCTTGAGGTCCTATAAGACTTGGTTGCCTTCTATTCTAAGGAATATTTTCTCTTTTCATACTAATAGATAATTGATTACATACAGTTTGCACAGAAGCTAAAGGTGGAGCCTCCCACAAAGGAGATGAAAATTCAATTGATGCATGACATAGCACAAAAGTTCTCTATTGAATGGGATTCCAAGGCTTTGGAACAGTCTCTGTTTAAGTCACCTCCAGTGGAGCAAGTAAGCCTCCTGCCTGGAACCTCGTAAAACACTCCGTCATGGTGGAACATGAGGCAGAACAACTTTGAATTCCTTTTGATGTTACATAATGCTATTGGTTTATTGTTAGTTCTATTTGCTTTCTTATTTGGGTTAACTTTGGAATACTCAAATTTGTTTTCATCCTGCATACAGCTTGATGCTCAAATGTTTCGCCTAATTAATTGTTTGACTTTTCTTGCAGAACAAGGCCCAGCAGAAGTCTTCATATGTTTCTGCTGCTCATAGATACAATTTGTATAGAAACAAGAAAGATGCTTTCGAGAAAAACAACAATCAAATTTACAAGAATGGGTTGAGTAACGTGCATGTGTACAGGAGGCCAAAAGGAAATGAAACAGACCTCACTTCTCGTGGGGGAATGGAGTATACAGATGATAAGTTAAAGCTGAATAGCAGCAGTGAAGGTGAAGTGACTGATCAAGATATCCCAAAGTCTAGTTCTTTTTTGGATGGAAGTGTTTCCGAGGATGGTATAGAGAACAGGAAGCCCTTTTTCTACAGGTTTATTCCTTCTCCCTATATAAGGCCTTTGAAACCACAATCGGGTTGGAAAGGTTTAAAAGGTTTTGGAAATGATGGAGCTGCAAATATTTGTTTGACATCCAAACGAATGGAAGAAGGCGATAAGAGGGATGAAGAAGAGAAGAAAATGGATGAGCTTTTGATGCATTACAGCAAGAAGAAATCGCCTTGTGAATGTTTGAGCAAATGGAAGACAGCACTTCGAGCACCACCCGGAATACAAGAATCTGACAACACAAGTAAAGGTCCAGGCTTAAGAAGCACTATATCTGACCCGAGTGCTCTTCCAGACGGAGTTGCTAATTTCTCCAAAGAAGCAACGAGTTCGACTGAGAGAGCTGGAAGGCATACCCGAGCCTCCTCATTTCAGCCACACATGCTTTCTGGGCATGTGCATCCGAAGCTACCGGATTATGATGATTTGGCATCTAGCCTTGCAGCTCTAAGAAGGCAGTAGAAGAATATATTCACACAAACACACGCGTGCATGTGTTATATAGGCATATAGCATTAGGAGATATTGCCATACATTCATATTCTTTCCAAGTTTCAGATTTTAAAGGCATCTATAGGAAATGAAATTGTTGTTTTGTTCATTCATTCATCACCACACATAGCTCTAGAGTTTTAAGTGCAATGCACGGTCAATGGTCATTCATGGAAAAAAAAGTATAGATATGATCTTGTTTATTACATGCGTATATTGTGTGCTTTCCAATCAATGATTTGAACTCTTGGAATATGTATTTCAATTTTCATGACAGGTTACATCAATGTTTTGAAATTCACAAAAATGTTTTAAATACAATTATATCCTTAAACGCGAATTCAAAATCTACGTAGGACACTGGTTGACAGAGGTTTACAGTTATATCCTATCACCCGATCTACACAAAAGCGAACCACCAAAACCCAAAAACAAAAGCATGCTAGAAGTTATTATTAAATGAAATAGTACATTACTTAAAAAAAATCAGCCAATAAAACCATACATTTACCTGACAGCAATTGCATAATCAGTCACCTAACCTAATAGAGCTAAAGTTAGATATATGCGTCAAATATAAATATTAATACTTCAAAGAAGATGGAACAATATATATCATTAGTCATTGTTGTATTAATCATGAAAAATCCAAATATTTTTTTGACTTAAATTAGAGGAATAAAAGAACGACAACAAAAGCTTTCATAATTAAAACAACCATCCATGGTTGAATTGGAAGCAAACAAAAAACCCACCTTCCTCTAAAATTATTTTCCTATAATAACACTCGGTCCCAACCGGTCCAAAGTAACATTTCTGCCAAAATCAAATGACTCTCTCAAAACTCGAACAACCCCCACCGCCACATGAACCGCCGTCGCCATCCCACTATTACACTGATGTACCACTCCAACCTCCTGATGAAAATTACGTCGTTTTGCGCCACTACTCCCCTGGAGGACGGCTCCGCTGGTGCGGCTACCCGGGACTATACACCGACACGGCTTCCTTCCTCTTGTTAGCTGCTACCTTGTTGTACATTTTCTGGCCCTCCGATCCCGCTATTAAACTCGTACGGGTGCATGTGAACCACATGCAAATCCATACCAAACCCATTATATCGTTGGATATCTCTTTGTTGATTACTTTGAAAGTGAAGAATTCCGACGTGTACTCCATGGACTTCGACAGCTTGTACGTCGCCGTCGGGTACAGAGGGAAGATGCTAGGACAATTATAAAATATAATTATTAAAAATGTAACAAAAATCAAGTTGTTTTAGTGGTTAAAGAGATGATTATTCTCCCTAGAGGTTCCGAGTTTGAACACCAAAGACGATGGTAAAGACAATTATAAGGTAATATCAGTTTTAAAGTTTCTCAACCATTTGATAATGAAATACCTAACACTCTAGCAGTCTCTAGTGCTCGAACATAGAACCTCTAGGGATATTGACGATGGTAATATAGATATTTATGATACACATTCACCAACACATGCTCTATGAAACTGAACATTTAATGCCAAATTTACTGATCAAAACAAATAACCACAAACATTAATAAGGAAACCTCCCAAAATAAATGCAAATTTTGAATTGATAAAATTACTTTCCAAATGGAAGTAAACAATTAAATATTAATTATATGAGATATCATATTTTAATGCTTTCTGCTGTCCATAAAATCTACCTAAATCACAACCACCCAATAAAACGTCTTTCATATCTACTATGAAGTTCTGGCCTCAATCTCGAGTAAAATAAATCTTCCATCATTTCATAATACCCTACCTTATTTGCCAAGTCTCACCAAGTTCCATAGAAAACTTAAAGCGCTTTACAAGGTAATTTTTCAAGTAGAGTATATATTGTTACAATGCACCAAGTGAATCTCTCTGCCTACGAGCTGTGGCCTTTTATACTTGGATAAACCAAATAGCTTGAAGAAAAGGAAAATGTCAAATAAACTTCAAAAATCTCTCCAGGATTACCTCTCCAAAATCAAAAGTAGCTCACCAAATACTCAATTCCCTTCAAAACCAGTCTCTTCTTCCAAAAAATGGATCCTCAAAGGGTGCAGACATCCCAGAACCTTATCTTTTGCAGTCAATCCTGCTAGAAATCATGGTCATCAAGGAGCCAATGACGATAATAATGATGATGCGGCCACGGTTGCGGATGTTGATCGTTTTCTCTTTGAGAATTTCAGGTCTCTGTACATCGAAGAGGATGATGAGGTTAACGAAAAGAGATGTAAGGTTAGATCAGGAGATCATGAAGATGATGATCATCTAGTGAGAAGCTCTCGTGAGTTTTTGCTTGATTCCCCGAGGTTTATGGATCGTCCCTCGTACCTTTGCGGTCCCAACAGGTTATTCGTGTCCGCAGGGTCGTCGAGTTTGCTTGTTGACAAGGCTGGGAGCAGCGCCGGAACCAACACCACCATGTCGATTTCGGAGAACATGGGTTCAACTTCTACCTCATCAGCTTCAACCAACAACGCTAATGCTTCCGACGATTCTAACAGCAATGGCGGTGCTGAGGGTGATGGTGTCACTGTCCGGAACGAATGCATTGCGGTGTTAACGTATTCTCCGAGTCCGTACGATGATTTTCGACGATCCATGCAAGAAATCGTGGAAGCGAGGCTGAAACATCATTCGAAAGTCGATTGGGATTTCATGGAAGAGCTCGTGTTTTGTTACTTGAAATTGAATGACAAGAAGTCTCACAAGTCCATCTTAAGTGCTTTCGTTGACCTGGTTGTGAATTTGCGTCAAAACGACATGAAGATTCCGGTCAACTGTCGGCATTTTAAGGTTAATAATGTAATAGATCACAGTAAATCAAGGAGAACTAGGCGCCATGTAAGGTAAGGATTTGGCAATTGTATGTTGTGCTTTAAAATAATGAAAAATAACAGGGCCATAGGTAATTTGTGTCCAATAAATATTGTTGATCTAAAAACTGTTATATTTTTTTCTTTCAATCTGGAACATGGTGTTATGGATACAAATGGGAGAGTGATTCAAGGAAGGACTTAAAAATTAGAAAATGCTCTGCTGTTCTGTAACATTTGGCGGATATTTGTGCTGATATTGTTCAAAAGAAGTGAATAAATATGGGGTAAACTACAGGGTTGGTTACTTTTGTTTCAATTTTATAAACATATGGTCACTGGATTCCAAAAATACAATTCTTAGTCACTTTTGTTTTGTTTTAATTAAGATGTGATCACTAAAACGTTTACTTTTTACCTGAACTCTTAAATTTTAGATAAATTGTTAATTATGGGTCTGTTTGTAAATTAAAAATAATTCAGGGATAAAATGTCAATTTACCCATTGTTTTCATATGTTTTCTTCCCCAACCCGTCTTCGCCGCTTCCCCTGCTTCAAACCATCTCTTGTGAGCCTCTCGAAACCATTATAGCAACCATGAACTTTGTTTAAACATAGGAATCCACGATAAAACTATCTACGTGCACAAAGGAAATAGTGAAGAAAATCTTGGTGATGTTATTTATATAAAGCTCGTGTATTAGACCTTTGTTTTCCACCCACACCATATGTTTGAAGTTTTGTTTGTGGGTCTGGGGTGGTGTTGAAAAACGAGAGATGGCAATTGGAGTGGGTCTTTACAATCCGGAGTTTTAAAGAGAGAAACTGCTAATTAGCTAATTAGTCTTCCTTGCTAATATTTTGATGTTAGTGGGAGGCAAAATTTTGCTCTTTTTACGAGGATTTTAAGTGTTGATTCATTTCATAGTTGTAGGATCTCTCTTGGGATTAGTAATCACTTCCAATTCTGGGTAATGTTGATTTCCTCAGCATTCTGTTTTTTTTTTCTGGTTTCAGTTAAGGTTTCACATTATTTCTGGGTTCATTGTTATGTATGAAGATTCTTCCGGTTTTGTTCTTTACTCGTTCGCTGATAAGAATAATCATGCTTTCATGTATAAATTCCAGGAAACTCTTCAAACTGTTATCAAATCAAGGCTATCGGACGTTTTACCGACAATTCATTACCTATACTGTTCTCAAATCATGTTTTTCGTCAAGCTTCTGTAAGTTTGAAGATTAGCGATGGAAAGAAGCCTTTTTTTGGGGCATGAAAAGGGTTGGAGTTTGCACTACGTAAACTTCAAAAATGAGATGAGAGGTGCCCAATAATGTGGTATTGTTATAATAAAAAACAATAGTTACACTGAATGGGCATGTGAATGCATCTGCCATTGATCACCTTGGTCATTGTATAAAGAGTTTATATGAACCATGCCAGACGACTCCAAATTCGATGGCATTGTCCTGGATGAAAAAGTACAAGGCTTCGGCCGTCTTTCTGCTCCAGTTATTTCTGTCTCATGGCCTCGCTTGACAAAAAGTAAAAAACTGACCGACAGAACCAATCGGTTGCACATCCTATTAGTGTAGAGAACCCCATATTAGTTAATGACAAGGGACCGTGCACCGATCACTATCACGGATTAGAATATAGAATCCTAAACCTAATCATGAGATCTACTTGCCCTTTCAAAAAGCAAACTGAAGTTATTTAACCGGATTGCATATTTCAAATTTGATCGTTGGTGACATCAATGGTAGAGGGCAAAAAGGATTACCGGTGAAATATAACCACTAAAGCATTAAAAGTGACAATGTTGGTTAAAAAATAAAAATATAACTCAAAATAGCATTTGGCAAGAGGCTCCAACATATTATACAACAACATTTAGCATTCAACATTGAATCGAAATGGTGAATATAACTGGGTTTTGCATGCATTACCCGCTGGCATTCTCGGTGGAGTTATCCTCTTCATCACCCTGCTGTATTTTTGCAATTTCAGCTTGTGTACTTTCCATGATCTGCCTCTTTTGCATTTCCATCTCTCTATGAAAATCCATTCTCATCTTCTCTAATTCCAACATCTGCTGCCTTTTACTATTCTCAATCTTTTCATATATGTCGCTGAATTTATGGATTGAATCCGCAAGCAATCGGAATGAAGAACCCTCATCAGATTGCCTCCCAAATCTTCTCTTTTTAGGTGGCAATCCATCTGAGATGTCCTCGTCACTATCACCAGATTCGGAATTTGCTGGACTATCCCTCATTTTGTCCATACCATTTGCTCGGCTCGAGTAAGGCCTAGGCGTAAATACAGCCTCACCTGATTCCAAACCACAAGACAGTCCACCCTGTTGTGGAGGAGTTGACATTAACATATACAACTTCCTGAAATAAACCCATTTGCTAGTGGTAGCACCAGTCTCTGCCAGCATAGCCTTCTCCTTCTTGTACTTCTTCTTTAATGTATCCAGTCGATTGCGACACTGGGTGTCAGTCCTTTCAATACTCGAAACCTCTGAAACTTTATCTGCAACCTCCTGCCACTCCTCAGATCGAAGACTCTTCCTCCCACGTTGCAAGAAACAGTCACCCCAAGCATCTAGTAGAACAAATGTCTCACGTTCAGTCCAGTCTGTGAGAGAATTCCTCCCACCGTGAGAGGGCTTTGGCACCGACGGCAATGGAGCTGCAACTGATGGTGCCGGTACACGAGGAGCAAATTCATAACTTGACATCATACTCTTAAATTTCCTCTTTTTTGGGTGCCTCTCCAAGTCAACACCATTGTTCTTTTCATTATAGCCTTTTGGTTTATCACAGTCTTCATCATCGAGCTCCTCCTCCTCATCGTCGTCTTCATCATCATCCATGTTCTTTCCTACATACCGAACACCATTAGTTTGGTCATGATTTTTCTCTTCCCCGTCCAAATCCTCCTCATCTTCCACATCATCTTCATCGTCATCGTCATTAACATATTGATTCTCAGATGATGTAGAATATGGAATATTTCTAACAGGAAACTTTCGGTGACTCGAAGAACCATAACCCTGCTGGTGACTAACACCATATGGATTTGGAGGATATCTAGCATCATCCTCAATGTTATCCATTAAAACCAAAGACTCAGCTCAACGGTGAGAAACCCCAAAAGTATCCTAAATTCCAAGCCTATCTCAAAAACAAACTTGTATATAGAAAAACTAAAAAAGCGTACTTCCCCTACACCTTAGTAGCTCCAAACCCAAATTTCATCTTTCCCATGCAATCAAGCATGAAGAACAATATAGCCATCCTTCTCTTCCAAAAACAATCCCAACAACTGTCATCAAAATTCACACACTTCGGAGAAAAATTAAATCCCGAAGGTTCTAAAATCCTTTTGAATCTTTTCTCTTCGTAAAAGTAAAGAAATTCAAAACCTAGCTTCCTCCTTTATTATCGAATCAAACAACAAATACCTTTAAAAATTACTCAAATAAATCAACTTTCTCACCTGTAAATCACAGAATTCTAAATCTTTTCCATAAATATAAAATCCGACCCACCATCATCAAGGTCAATACAGACCCTAAATCTTTAATTTCAAGGAGCAATTGAATCAAAACTTACCTGAAAAAAGTGCTAGAATCTCTCAAACTGCTTTTCAACATCAAATCCTAATTGAATCTATAACAAGCGTCGAACTCATACAAATTTAAGGCAAATTGAAGCTTTTCATTTTTATTGGATGAACATTATTATTAGTAGTATTTTTCAAGGAAGAAGAAATTGTGGACAAAAGTATAATATTTGGAAGGGAAAAAATATATATTTTAGATTTATTAAAAAAAAAGGATCGCTAGTCGCTACGCTTTATGCGTGTTATTTTTTTTTTCTCATGATAGCAGGCCTTGAAATTTATAAGCCCATCGGGTTAAAAGGGCTTAAAGTTTATTTTCGTTTTTCTTTTATTGGACTGAAATCGAAGTAATAAACTCGATAAAATTTCAGGTTTGGTATTCGGTAATTTCAAGTGTCAAATATAGATAAATAATAAAATAAGATTATTATTTAATCATTACATTATTGATTTAAAATATAAGGTTTAATTTATTTAGTTTTAAAATTTAAAATGACCTAAAAATTGAGAAATAAAAACTTAATTTATTAAGTTTCCAAACTTTAAAATTAAATAATTTACAATTTTTCACAATTTAATTTTATTTGTTTGAGAAGATATTCAAATAATTTTTTTCCTAACAATAATGACAAGGATTCAAACTTATCCAAATGTGTTGGGAGAAGAAATCTATTTTATTTACATAACTTGACAAATTTAATCCTCCTAAAATAAGCAAAAATTAAGAAAAATATAGTAAAACAAAAAGGGAGAAATAACCGAGATAATGTAAGTGAGATTTTTTTTAATTTCTAATATAGTTCACGTCGGGGATTATTTCGGTGAATTGAACAGTACCAAACTAAAGACGTCAGATGTTTTAAGTGTTTTCAAGCTAAAAATAAAGAATTCACGACTATATGGGGTCTTCAAGTAAATGAATAAGACTCTGCTACTACATGACGTCTTTAGATAAATTGAAAAAACCCTAAAAATATACGACATCTTTATACCAATAATTGTTCTAGTTCGAAAAATAATATAATGGATAGTTTACATGGGAAATTTATTTTTCCCGGTGCCCTATATGCAGTGTTTTGAAAATCAGACCGGACGGTCGGTTCAACCGGGGATCGTTCCTAGTCCGGTTCAATCTACACCGGTTGAACAACTACTAGTGAACCGGTCAAAACCGCTGAACTGTTCGAACCGGGCCGGCTGAAAATCAGAAAAAATCGAGAAAAACAGCCAATTTTGTTTTTTTTTTAAATTAAACCAAACGACGTCGTTTGTTAAATGAGCCAAGTCGAACTCGAGTATTGTTGAGCTCGACTCGAACTTGAAAACTTTAAAAGTAAGCTCAACTCGACTCAAACTCACGAGCTAAAAATTATCAAGTTCAACTCAAACTCGAAATATAATATTGAAACTTGAACTCAAAAATGCTTGAACTCAAAAAAAAATTAGAAGCTCAATTGAAGCCTAAAATTCCAGCTTGATTGAAGTGAATGAATAGTTCACTCAATGCTCACCAAAAGGCTCCATGATTTTGAATGTCAAATTACCTCTATTATTTATAGAATTTAGTTGTGATGCTCTTCTATGTTTCTTAGCCATGTGAGATTGTTTTGTTCTCATATTTTTACTCTTTAGCCTTTTGGGATGTATGTTTCTTAGCCATGTGGGATTGTTTTAAAAAAAATTAAACCAAACAATATCATTTTGTTATGATTTTTTTAACCCCAAATTTATTTTTTAATTATAGTTATATAATTATATTTATTATTTAATATGTTTTACCTTAAATATTATGTTGTAGTTAATTTGAATCATTTTGTTTCACTTGATTTTATGGTTTTTAACTTATATATGTTATGACTTGCTTTGAATATAACTTGTGATATAAAAAATTATTTTTTATTAAATATTTTTTGTATTTTTATTTAATTTTTTAAATAATTATGACATCGTCCGATTCTTCCGACCAGTCAAACTGCTTAAACCAGTGAACCGATATCATGACCGATTCACTAACCAGTCCAGTTCTGAAAATCATGCCTATATGGCGGCGAGGAAGCGGAACAGAAAGCCCCATGATGCAATGCAACTCCAGGCGGCTATTTGACATAACTGACACCGTTTTTTTTTTAATTTTCCCTTTCTGACACCGTTTGATCAATATTTCAGAAGTAGCACCCTTTCTGCTGAGTTGGCAAAGGCGCGTCCCCGGGGACGCGCTTTACCCGTGTTTTCACTGAGTTAGATGTCACGTGTGGAAGGCGCATCCCCAGGGACGCGCCTTTGCCAACTCAGCAGACACGTATTTTGTTTAATAATAAATAGTTTATTTTTATTATTATTATAAATTAATAAGATATTATGTAAAATGTTTCGATTATAATGTAAGAATTATCAAATGTATTTTGTTAATGTGTGTTAAAGGTGGAGTGAATTATATACATTAATATGATATAACAATATATGAAAACCAATTTTGACTTTATTGTAGTTATAGGAAAAATGTATGAAATTATAATATTACACATATGGTTATATTATTATTTTTGATTTTGATTATCGATCTATTAATTTTATCAGTTAATTATTTAAATGTTATCAATCTAGTCATCTCATATCAATATTTAACGAAAATATTGATGCATAAGTTAATAAATTAGTATAATTACATATTTAATCTTCAAGACTTACATATTTTATAAAATTAATATTATTGAAAATTTAATTTAATAAATTTAATCCTCCAATCAGAACATGAAATGTGTCATCGTATACATAAATTTTTTAATAACTTTTAATTTGTTTAATTTAATATTTTTCTCTACTTAGAAGGTGGAATTATTATTATATTTAAAAAAATTTATAACTAATAATATTAATTATTATATTAAATAAATATATTAAATATATTTATGTATTTAAAAGTTAAAAAAAAATTATTTAGGTGTACATACATTGACAAATTATATAAATGCAATAACATTAAATTATTAGAAACAAAAACATTCATTTAAATACAATATTAATTACATAAGAGTTAACGGTTATATGATGATAACAGAGCTGAACATTTTTTCTATTGTGCCCGATGTTTCTACAATGCCCACATCGTTTTTGTTCTGTTGACTTCTCCCGAATATCCATATCACATTGTATTCTAGTAGATTTTGGACGACCTGAGTCCCTCAATAGCAATGGATCTGGTACAATTGTAACCCAAGTTTGAATCTCATTTGGGTCTCTTTCGTTTCCTATGGGTGGAAACTCAAATTCATATACCTTGAATACTTGTGAAAGTTGGTATACGGGATCAACATAATTTTTGTAGTCCAAATGCGAATGTGAGCGAGCAGCAATGACATGAGAGCATAGATATTTGAGTGCTTGAAAGAAACCACAATCGCACCACCTCTCTTGCAGATTAACTCTGAAAGAGTTAGCTTCAATCCCTTGCAGCGGACGTGGCATTTCGATTACACGAAACAATTCACGGGTGCAAGAAAAATTTATAACTAACATCCCATTTGATGCAGCCACTTTTTTCTGTAAATCAACTACTAGTCTTGGGTGGTAAATATGTCCGTTTTGCATCCAAGTAAGAGCTTGTCCACCGAGCTTTGCAAAGAGTTGACCCAAATGAAAATAAGTCGTTTTAACCAACGCCGTGACTGGTAAATGACGCGCCCCCTTTAAGGTTGAATTTATTGCTTCAGCCAAGTTTGTTGTCATATGACCATAGCGATACCCCCCGTCATATGCATTTGTCTACATTTCTTTGCTGATGTCCATAATGTACTCGCACCCCTTCTTATTTTTGCCAAACAACTCTTGTAGTATCGACTCAAACCTTTGAGGTAAGAGTTCGTAACCTAAGCCATTAGGAATATGTAATAGTTAATATGAAGTATAAATAAGTAATAAGAAATTGATAGAAAAATTGGGAAAAAGTAACATACCCATCCGCACGACTAACTGACGTTCATCGTTCTTCTTGTATTTTCCGTAATAGTTTGCAGCAATATGACTGACACAATAACGATGTTGAACATGTGGAGGTCTATACATTGTACCCAAAGAGTCCATTGCTGCTTTTATCCCGGCTCCTCGGTCTGAAATAATGCATACTCGTTCCCTGGTGACAACATTTAAACGTAAATTTTTAAGGAAAAAAGCCCAAGACTCAGTGTCTTCTCCTTGAACGAGGGCAAACGCAACAGGAAGAATATTGCGGTTTCCATCTTGGACCACAGCCAATAATAAAACTTGTTTGTATTTCCCATACAAGAAAGTACCATCAATTTGGACAATTGGTTTACAGTACTTGACTGCATTAATACACTGAGGGTAAGTCCAAAAGACTCGGTAAAATTGGTAGCGATCGCGAACCATTCGATCATTCACGTAATGATGTTGAGTTTCGAACTCAACAATTGTCCCGGGATTAAGTCTTTGCACAACATGAAACCAACTGGGCAGCTCGTTGTAAGAGGAATCCCATTCGCCATGAAGTTTGCAAATGGCATTCTGTTTTGCCAACCACGCTTTTTTATATGAGACAGTGTACCCATATTGTGACTGTATAGCAGAAATCAACACTGCAACAGCTATATGAGAGCTTTGTTTCACAATGGGCATGATTGCTTGACAAATAATGTTGGAGTCCAAGTTGGGATGATCCTGGTTTATACCTGTTGCACAACATGTATGAGGACCGTTGTATCTGGTTAGTTCCCATAAGTTATTCTTCTTCTTCCTCTTTGATACACGGACCATCCATTGACATCCGTTGTCACGTTGGACGCAGTAGCAGACATATTTCTCCGTGTTAGATCGATCAACTCGGGATTGAACTGAGTTACGAATATTGTAACTCTTTATTGCCATCATTGCTTCCTCCTTCGATGCGAACTCCATTCCAATATGTAAATTACCGTCATTGACTGATGATTGAAGTCCATAGTTGCCAACATCAGGAAGATCTGGAAATTCAGGCTCATACATTGCATCATAATCAGCCTCATACATATGTGCAGGAAGTTCGGCTGGTGTTGTATTTATCGGAACGTCATCCTCATCATCATCAGAATGTACGTTAAACTGTG